GACCAGAAATCAAGGCCCACTGACTCTGTGGGGTGGCTCCTGGAGGATCCAGACCTGAGGCAGTAAAGGAGGAAGGCGGCCAGACAAAGGGGTAGGGGCTCTATTGTGTTCCAGGTGGAGGTGACAAGTCCAAAGTCCCCTGAGAGGGGGAGGGGAGCAGGACGCTCTTCAGCAAGGATGCCTGGGTGGAGGGGCACCTGCTCCACGGGGTCTAGTGGACTGCGGTGAGGGGTCTGGCTTTTATCCTGAGCCAATTAGAAGCCCCGCTTGGCCTGGGGGGAGACGGGGTGCAGCATGGTTCAGCCTATAGCTGTCAGCATAAGAGTTCCAATCCACGAGAAGCAGCCTCTGACAATGCTGACCTTTCTGGTTCCTTCCAGCTCACGGTGCATTTCACAAAACCAGGCAGCTCCATGTCATTCGGGCAAGGGCTCTCCTACACTCATCTGGAGTCACCAAGGCTGCGGGACCCCGGACTATGAACCCCTGGTCCAGGGTCCTCTGCACATTCATGTCACTCTCCTTGCTCCACAGAGAGTCACGAAGCCCCATATTTCCGGGCATCCTGGGGTCATGTGCTTTTATAGGGCAGCCCGCCTGTCCTGGACACCAGTGGGGAAGAAGGCAAGTCCAACTGGGGAAAGGAGCTTTGGGGACCCTCCTGGGAGAGCTGAGGATTGAGGGGACTGGCCAGCCCTGGTCTCCTGGCCCCTGGACACACCTTAGCCTGCCTCTGCCCCCTCTGGTGTGCAAGTCCACCTCTGGCCATCAGGATGCCCACAGGTCAGGCCTGCAGTGGGCATCCTGGGGAGCATGGCCTGGGGCCTGGGCATAGAGCAGGCAGACCGGGACCCTCCTGGAGTTCTGGGGTCAGAAGCCTCACAGGGTAGGGGCCTTGGCCGGGCAGCTTATGGGTCAAGACCATCTGTTCCTGATTGGGATCAACTGAGAGCCTGGCAGACTGTGAGCTTTCCCAGAACCACATGCCCTCTTAGCCAGGGGGAGCCCCTTGATGGCCAGCTGGGGCTGTAGGCAGGGAGGAAAAAGTACCGCTCCTTCAGAGCAACAAGGGGCCTGTCCCTGGGCCCCCTTCTGATGCAGGATTGCTGGGGCTCTCCCCTGGCCCCATCCTTCTGAAAGCAGCAACCCTTGCGGGGGAGGTGCAACACGGGTGGCAGCCCCGGAGGTAAGGGGTGCTCCTAGCCTAGGGGAGGGGCCCAGCTGCTGCTCCGGGCCCCGTTCCAGCCCTCGGACCCTGGCCCCCATTCCTCGAGGCCTGTCCTCTACCCACTGGCCTTCAGCCCCACCCAGCTCCTAAGCTCTGGGCTGGCTCCCACGAAAGGCCATGGGAAGGCTGTGGGCTGAGCAATGGCCAGGAGGGGACCAGGAACTCCTTCAGTCCTGCTGGGCTGATGACCTCCCGATGAGGCCTTCTCCCAGCTGTGAGTCTTCAGGGTGCCCAGCTGGTCTGTGTCTCCTCCCACACGACTGGGTTCCGCCAAGGCTGACAGCGGCCCCCGGGCTCAGCTTGGTGCCTGCGACCAGCCTCTCTGCCCATGGCCGGGGTGCATGTTCTCACCAGCTGGGTTCCCTGGAGGGGCATCAGAGCAGGCCTCAGAAAGGGAGCACCCCTCCAATATTCCAAACCACGGCGCAAGCTACTTAAGCCCTCTCCCTGCAGAGACAAACTTTCCCCGTGGCCTCACTCAGTGGCTGCCCGAACTGCAGGGCCGCCTCCGGCTCCTCACACAGCTCAGCTTGGACACCACCCGAGAGTGCAGGGCCCAGGGAGAGCTGGGCTCTGGGGACAGGAGGTCCGGCACAGTCGTCTGTTAACCGACTGTGACCACGATGATGTGTCATGTGTGTGGGCGGAGTGGACACCCCATGCCCCTGCTTCCCAGCCAGGTCGGCTTCCCGAGTTTGCGGCTCAGGCTGAGTCAGGCGTGAGGGTGCCCTGCCCCCCCATCCGTCCTGGGATGGGGCTGAGCAGGGGGCTCCTGGGGATGCCTCCTCCGAGTGGGGTAGGGGCTCAGGGGAGGGGGTGGTCCTAAGGCCAAGTTGTCTGGCCCAGGGGTGAGGGCGAGTCTGCCAGGGCCAGGAGCACCTCTTGCCCCCTCCCGCTCCTGTCTCCAACCTCCCACAGGTCCCAGTTACGCTATGGCTGGGTGGGGAGGGGCTCTGGTTTGGGGCCTCCCATCTGGTGGTGGCCAGAGTCTGGTAGGAGGAGGAAGAGAGGCTGCTTCGGAGCCCCCCCCCCACCCCGCCCCGAACTCACTCCTTTGATAACCTGCCCCACCCCTACCTCCACCCCACCCCCACCCAGGACTGAAGGACAGAATGCCCGGCTGCTAGGTTGCCAGCGTGGCAGGGGGACCCTTCATCAGGGACCAGTGCCCAAAAAATGCCCAATAAATGTCGGGGGAGAAAAATGCATGACTAACCAAGTCCCTCCTCCTTGCTAACTTGCCCTCCTGACTCCTGGACCTTTTGGCCTCAGTTTCCCCACTTGTAAGAAGGAAAAGTGGCTGGCCAGCCTGGGAGTCAGAGGAAGATGGGAGACATCACTGGACCATTTGGGGGTGACTTGCTGGAAACGTGACACGGGCGGCCGGGATAGAGGTGGGCAGAGATGGACCTCCCCTGCCCTGCCCTGCCCACCCGCCTGCAGAGGGCCCCTCCAAGAGCCCAGTGTGCAGCCTGACTGGGATAGCATCTTCATCCTCCAAGCTGCCCCCTCCCTGGGCACACCAGCTGGCATGGGCACAGGGTGGGCACATTCTCCCCTGCCCACTTCACCCCCCACCCTCCCCGCCACCAGCTGCTCCCGGGGCAGCTGTCTGCTGGGAAGCAGCTAGCCCCGGATTAACCCTCCCCGCACCGGGTGCCCTGGCTGACTCTGCACATTCTCTGGCAGCCACCCCTCCCTCCTGCCTGCTCTGTGCCCTCGGATGGCAGAGGCCTGGCTGCTAGGGGGCTCAAAGGGCTCCTGCCCACCACCTCTGCCCATTGCCCCCCCACCCCTCCCCCCGGGATGTTGGGAAGCTGACCTGGGGTGAGGGTGGGGGTGGGAGGGTCCCCAGCCTCCAGCCCTCAGACTACCAGGACCCCCAGCTATCAAAGGGGCACCAGGGTCCAGAGCGTGGTGCAGTGATGTGTGCAATGGGGTGACCTCTGGGCAGTAGGGAGGACGGGGCGGGGGGCAGGTCAAATTCCCATCTGGGAACTCTGCTACTGCCCAGAGGTGGCTCTCCGTCTGTCCCTCGCAAGGGATCATAAATTAGCTCTTGAGCTGGCCTGTCTGCTTGGGGATTCCAGATTACTCCATGTCTCCCGCCCACCCTCTGGGCCAGCCCCTCCCCGACTCAAAACTTCTCCTACAAAGTAACTGCCTCTTTTTGCCCTCCCCCAGGTGGAAGTTACAAAATCGTGGCTGACTGGAGGGGTGGAGGGAGGGTCATCCTCACTGCCTATGTCCCAAGGGGCCACCGGGCTCCCTTGAGATACAGGATTTGCCGACGGCCAGGGCCAGCCAGAAGGATGTGAATGGTAGTGCACCCTCCCACAACAGCTGCCGCAGGACCCCCCCAGGACCAGCTGGCCACCCTGCACTCATTCTACCCGCCACCCAGGACTGCCCAGGGGGCACCACGTGGGACATACACCCAGCTGGCCTAGCTCAGAGAATGGGGGGGAGCTGCCAGCCCAGCAGCTGCACACCAGCGCCCCCCCCCCCCAGGCTCCCTGTGAGGCTGATTTGGGCCAGGAGCCAGAGGGGAGGAGGAGACCCAGTGGCCACAGCCACCCAAACGCAGAAACAGCTGGGACACAACCCCGAGCTCTGGCCTCTAGGTCCTGTGTCATTTCCCAAGCATCCTCCAGCGAAAGCGGGGGTGGGGTGGGGTGGGGGGGGTGCTGCTCAGAAGGGGGAGTAGCCCTGAGCAGGGAGGGATTGGAGGGCAGAAGATGGTGGCGTCCACAGTGCTCCAAAGCACAGGTACTTCAGAGGCACAAGGGCAGGCTCCCAGCTGGCCCCCGACACAGCAGGTGCTCATTGGAAGAAGTCCTTTGCAGCCCATCTGCCCGGCACCCTCAGGGTTCTGAGCATCCTCCCTCTGCCACAGGGGCCCCGCAGTGGGGACCTGTGTCCGGTGCCTCTTGATCCATTTCCCTATTTTAGAATATTTAAAAGCCAAGTCTGGTACAGGTGGGAGCTAGCAGGGTTGAATTTGAGCTGGCTGCCCCAGGGACGCATGGGGTCCCCAGTCCAGATCTTTCTATCCCTCTGTAGTTTGGACTGCCTCTAGGGCCCCCCCACCCATGGCCACTAATGGCTGGCAAGGGCGCACCTTCTCCACCTGCAGAAAGAGGCAGATATGGGGGGGCAGTATAAGGGGAGGAAAACCAAACACCCAAAGAGAGGAGAGAGGCTGTACCGGGTCTGTGGAGGTCACGCCATCAAGTTCCAGGGAACCATCGTCCAGGCTCCAGTGGGGCAGTCGCTCTGGACACTGAGCCGGTTCTGGGGCGGCGGGGTGGGAACGGGCTGGGCTGTTGGTGAGGCAGACGGTCAGCCTGGCCGCCAGACAAGCCTGCCTGACTTTTCGCCGCAGCGCCTGTCCCCGAGCCGCCGGGGGCGCTCGGCCGCCAAGAGGTGCCCAAAGTTAGGGAAACAAAGAGCTGAGCCGCCAGGCTGGGAAGAGCGGCCCGGGCGCCCGGGACCGGGGGCGCCGCTCGGGACCAGGAGCCACGCCCTGGGGGGTCGCAGTCGGGCCGCGTTCCCACGCCTGGCCCGGGGCCAGCAGGTGCCCCTTCCGGGAGGCCGGCGGGGGCCGGGGTCCGAAGGGTTAAGGCCACCGGCCGCCCCTCCCCCGCCCCCTCCCCGCCCCCTCCCCGGGGCGCGGGGCTCGGGCGCCCGGGCGGGCCGGGGCGGGGCCTGACGTTCGCAGGCGGGGCGAGCCGGCCGGCCGCCGCCGCACTCCCGCCCGGCTCCCGCGGCGCCGTGGTCCCCGGAGCTGGAAGATGGCGAAGCTGGGCGCGCGGCTCCGCGCGGGGAGCGTGGGGAGCGCACGGCGCGCGGCGGGGCCGCTGCTCCTGGTCTGCCTGGCGCTGCTGGGCGCAGCGCGGGCGCGGGAGTCGGCGGACAGCGGCTTCAGCCTGCACCCGCCCTACTTCAACCTGGCCGAGGGCGCCCGCATCGCCGCCTCGGCCACCTGCGGCGAGGAGGCCCCGGCGCGCGGCGCCCCGCGCCCCACCGAGGACCTCTACTGCAAGCTGGTGGGGGGCCCTGTGGCGGGCGGGGACCCCAACCAGACCATCCAGGTGAGCGCGGGCCGGGACTGGTGGCCGCGGGGCGGGCGGGGTGGCGAGGACGCCGTCGCGGGGACGCGGGCGCCAGGGACGGACTTGCCTGGGAGCGCCCAGGTACGGAGCGAAGCCCGCGCGATCCGTCCCGTCGCCCTGGTTCCGCATTTCGGGAAACGGAAGGGACCCCAGCTCGGCCTTTCAGGCTCGGCCGGAGAAGTGCGCGTCCCGGGCGGCGGTGGCAGGGCGGGAGGGGGGCTGGTGCCCAGTCCCTGGCGGCCCCGAGTCCCGGGATGCCGGCGGGGGCGGGACTTGGCCTCCACCGCCGCTGCCCGTGGGGAGGGGGCGGACCCGCTCTGCCTTTCCCCGGGACAGGCTGGAACCTGCCGGCGGGGATGGGACTGGGTTCCTAGAGTTTGGGGCCAGACGCTGGAGGCTCTCACTGCCGGTAGCAGAAGGTTGAAGTCGTTCCCTCTGGGGATCTGGGGACATGGTGGGACCCTCAAGGGGTGTGTGTGTGTGTATGTGGGGGGCAAACAATGGTATTTTTAACTGGGGTTGGGAACACAGATGCAAACCCTGGGCGGCATCTCTGCCCTGCAGGTGGTGGGTCAGTCGGCTTCAGTCTCCTTGAGGAGATGGGGTTTCAACCCCAAGACCCTCCGGAGGCAGGCCCACTAAGCCATAAGTCTGTGGGTGGGGAGCGGGTTCGGTGGCACCAACTGGCACGGACACCTGACCAAGAAGGCAGGGCTGCGAAGACTCTCTGGACTTAGGTTGAGGATCTTGTGAGGTCGCTTGCCAACGTTGGAGGGGGATAGGGTCTGCTCCAGGGGCTCCTTGACACTCCACAGTAGGCTGGTCTTCCTACCCCTGCTGAATCTTAGGGAGAGTGGGGGCCCCAAGGCGGTTGTAACCTGAGTCACCACAGTCCTGGTGGAAGAGGCAGGGGGAGGGGAGGAGGGCAGTTAGATGTGGATTAGCCTGGGTGGGTGACGAATGGAGGAGCCTCAGCTGGGCCCCCCCAGCACTGCCCTAGGCCCTCCCCTGGAGGGAGGAGCTGAGAGGGGGCGCTGGTGCCACAGAGCCATCCTGCCATGGAAGCTCACCTCCCTTGGGCTCCTGGGCTCACCTGTGTGCTCTCCCCTGTGCCCAGTACAGCTGATAGAAGGGGTGTCAAGAACATGTTTCAGATAGGGAAACGGAGGCCCGGAGAGCTGTACCGTGGCCACCTGCTGAAAGCCCCACAGCCAGGCCGGGATCTGGCGCGGTCCAGCGGTGAGAACCCATCCCTGCCACAGGCCCTTGGCGCATCTGGTTAATGTGCAAAGGGGCTGGGTGGCAGGAAGGAGCTTGTGTGGGGGTGTCCAAAGCTGCCCCCAGAGCTGTCCCAGAGGGCCCGGCTGAGCGCTCGATGTCCCTGTTCCCGGCGCATCTGGGTCCCCCCAGAAGTCCTTGCAGCTACCCGATCCCTGGTCTTTGTTGCTCCCTTACTGTGCCTAAAGGAGAGTCTGGGGACCCGGGCAGAGCCCCTTTCCTCTGCTTCTCCGTAGCCATGCGCTTTCTCCCCCTGGGCCTCAGGCTCCTCCTCTGCAAAATGGGCATGAGAGCCGCTTCACCTGAGGTTGGGAGCGTGGCCTGAGGAGCCTGGGAAGCCATCGGTTACGTAGCGAGGCCGACACACGTGGTGTCATGTGGGAGGGAGTCGACCCCGAGTGAGCCCTGGCGGCCCTGCCCCCACAGCTCGGACCCCACAGGGTCTGGCAGGAGAGAGGCAGAAGCTTCCCTTTGAGCGTCTGGAGCACCCCTGGTCTGAGGCTGCCGGTATGCTAGGAAGACCCCCTGGCCGGAGGGATGCAAGCTGCACAGCCCTGTGGCCTTGGCTGAATCCCTGGCCCGGCCAGTGCCTCTGTCCTCTCCTCTAGCTGCCTTGGCCTTCGAATGGGCTGGTGGGAGGGCCTTGCCTACAGGCCCCGTCTGGAGCCGAGCTGCTGGGGGCAGGAGGTGCCAGGCAGGTGACAACCACCTTCTCTCTGTCCTAAGAGCTCAGTCTTGGGCTAGCATGGGCGTTGGGTCGCAGGATGTGGGGCCCGAGCACGGGGGCTGGCAGCTCACAGGGCCCCTGGAGGAGACAGACAGAGGCCTGCTGGTGTCTGGGCGAGGTGGGCCTGGAGGCAGCTGGAGCAGGCAGAGGGCAATGGGGGCATTCCAGCCCTGTGGCCTCAGGTGGGCCTTGCAGGAATTCCGGGTTGGCCCTGGGCCCCGCAGGGGAAGTCGGGGGCTCAGCTGCCGGCATGGTGACTCACGGGGAGGGGACGTCCTTACCGTTGCTCCCTATTTCCTCACTCTGTTCCTGGCAGGACCCTCTGCAGCAGAGGGTGGAGGGAGCCTGGTTTCCCCAGCACTGTCCACTGTGAGCCAAAGCCAGGCAGACAGGCCGGCCGGGGAGGCCCGTATCACCGAGAGGCGCCCACTGTAGCCTTTTGTGGGGACTAGAATCACCTCTGTTTGACTCTCTGGGTGGGCCTGAGTAGAAACTTTCCTGGGCCCCCTTGACCCAGCTTCCTCCTGGGCTTGGGGTGGGGGGCGTCTGACCACAGGCAGCCTTTTTTGGAAGGCCTACACCAAGCCAGCCAGGTGGTCCTGCCCACCTCCTCTAAGAAGGCCCCCTACCACCCTCGGCCCTGCCAGGCCCCTGATGCCTTACACCTATGTCTGTGGAGCTTTCAGTGATCCCTTGGGCCCCCTCCTCTGTTTACCCACTGGGAGCTCCCACCGGTACTGGGAGCCAGAGCCCTGGCTTCTAGTTTGGGGGTCCCCATTTGAGCTAGGTGGTAGAACTTTTCTGAGTGTCCCCTGCTGCTCCAGTCCCTAGGTATGGCAGCCCTGGGGGTGGGCTCAGAGGTACAGTAAAGAGTGAGGCAGTTGTGCCCCCCCCCCCCACTGAGCTCTGGGCCCTGGGTGGGGGCAGTAAACAGAAGATCACTAGTAGCCGGAGAATTTCAGGTCTCTGTGATAGGATAAAGGAAGCAGGGCGATGCATGCATGGGGGTCAGCAGGTTAGCTGCTTGGGTGGTCTGGAGCTCTGGGGCCCCTGCAGAGGAGGTGACATGTGAGCTGAGACAGGACAAAAGGGATGAGAGTCCAGGGCCCACTGGCTGGAACAAGGTCCGGAACAGGGCGACCCGGGGCACCTAGCGCAAGGTGTGTCCGTGCCCGGTGCATTGGGTCTCAGCAGCCCAAGCACACAGCGGAAGCGTGGGGCAGACCCGCGTTTGTGAGGCTTGGGGGCTCTCTGTGGCTGCCAGGCCTGGGAGTGGGGGAGCAAGGGATCTCCCACGCTCCCACCTCCAACTCCTAGGACAAGGTCTGGCCCCCTGGGAGGTTGGGAGGGGTGGGGCAGCCACATTTCCCAGACACAGCCTCTGGGGCCTCAACTGATGCCAAGTCCCAGAGGGCTGTCTTTGTGTGCCGAGGGATGGCAGGTCTGGTTTCCTCCGGGGTGGGGGTTGGGCCTGCCCTCAGCCAGTGGCCAGCACCCAGCTCTGCCCCCCTGCCCCCCATGCTCCCAGCACCTGCTCTTCCCTGACAGGGACGCCTCTGTGCCCCCAGAGGACAGGCCCCCAGCAGGTGGTTGGACCGGGACAGAAGCAGCTGCCAGGCCCCACATGGGATCCGTTAATCTTGCCGTGGCCAAGGCAGGTGCCATCCCCATTCCTTGGATGGGGACACTGAGGCTCATGGTGCCGTGACTTGGCCTGGTCCCAGGGCTTGGAAGCAGCAGAGCCAGGAGGTCCAGGCCTTGCCTAGCGGCTGCCCACATACCTCCACTCTGGAGCCTCTCCCCACAGGCCCCTGGAATGGCTTCATTCTGTCTCTCTGGAGACCCTAATCCAGGCTCTGGGTGAGAGCCTGACAGGAGGGTTGTGCGGGAGGGGCCCGAGGAGCTGGGGAGGCGGTTTGGCCACCCGGACCCCTCCCCGCCCTGATGCTCCCAGGCCTTTTGTCCGGGGACTGTGACTCCCCCCTAGACCGGCTCTCTTTCCCCCTCGGCTCCAGCTCCATTGGACTTTGTGTCCTGTGCTGCCCGCTTCCTCCTGGCCCCAGGTCCCGCATGAGTCACCCCTCTGTCTGGAGCGCACCCTCCACTTGCAGTGTAGGCCTCAGACGCCACCTCCTCAGAGAGGCCCACAGGGATTTTCCCACCTAAAGAGGGCGCCCTTCTTCCCCGCTCTCCTGTTTCCTCCATGAGGGGTGTGATCATCTCTCCCGGGAGCCGAACCCCCAAGCCCAGAACGCAGTAGGCACTCACTATGTGCTTGCTGAGCGAACGGGGAATGGCAGGTGAGGGTCATGGCAGGTGAGGGTCGGCAGGTTGCGGGTGTGGAGGGCAGGAGGGTGACCGGAGGGGCGGGGCGCAAGCCCCCCTCGGCCATCTGACCGCGCCCTCCCCCACAGGGCCAGTACTGCGACATCTGCACGGCCGCCAACAGCAACAGGGCGCACCCCGTGAGCAACGCCATCGACGGCACAGAGCGCTGGTGGCAGAGCCCGCCGCTGTCCCGGGGACTGGAGTACAATGAGGTCAACGTCACTCTGGACCTGGGCCAGGTAGGGTCGTCTGCAGCGGGTGGCAGGCCGGGTGCGGACAGAGGCGTGGCCGTGGGCACCTTCTGTGTGTTCCGTCAGCACCCCTGCAGCACGCAGGGGGAGAGGAGGACGGGAGGGGGCTTCCCAGAGGTCACAGTTAGGGTCAGGGGACAGCTTGGAGGCCAGCCCAGATGCTGGGAGGCCCTGGTGTTTACTTGGAGGAATTCCTTCGCCTGGAGCCTGGCGCTGCCTGGCGGCTGTGGGAGGGGCCCGGACGGTGGGGGAGGCGCTGGGGTGGACATTCCTGGCATACCTGTGCTGTGGAGGCCACCTTGGGGTCAGGTGCGCCTGCTCGGGCCACAGCTCTGTGCTCTCCTTGGCCTTTGAAGCCCCGGCGCAGGGGGCAGGGTGGCAGGCATTTCTCAGTGACTGCTGAGCCCCACCTGTGGGATCTGGGTGGGGTCGGGCTCCCACAGGCTCTGTCCTGCTCCGTGGGGGACTTTGCCAGGCCTCGGTGACCCGCCTGTGAGAAGGGCCAGCAGTCCTGTTGCCACTGGGGCCGTGGTGGGGGTGGGTAGAGGGGGCTGAGCCTGGAAGCGACCAACCACTGGGCCTGCCTGGGGTCCCGGCTACAGGGTGGATCCTGCGGAACCCTACCTGTTCACGGTGGCTGGCTTGCCACCGTCCTGGGGTGTGACCTGGTGGGTGTCTGCTCCTTGCCGAACCCCATCCCACTGTCACCCTGACGATGTCAGAGAGGTGGGGAAGTGGTTGGAAATCGGGCCCCGGGGGCAGAGTTGGGGTGCTCTGTTGGGGTTCCTCCTGCCCCCAGCCTGGAGGCCTGCAGGCCTGGCCCCGGGGGAGGTGGGCAGTGAGGGGAGTGGATTCAGGTCCCAACCGGCCACATTAGCTGTTGTGCCCTAGGGAGAAGTAGCCACGTGCAGGGGGAAGGAGCTGGGCTGGGGGTGGGGTCGACTGGGGAGGGGGCTCCCCCAAATGACACAGGGGAGATGGGTCCTTTCCAGCTCCATTTGCAGGGAGAGGGACTCACCCATCCACAGAGCGGTACTGTTCTCTCTCCCTCCGCCACCCTTCCTTCCTTTTTTCCACCTACCCACCCTCCCTCTGACCGAGTTCCACCCGCCCCTTCCCCGCTCCCTCCCCTCTACTGCCCGCAGGTGAATCCACCAAAGTCCCAGTCTTGGTCTGACCGAGGGGCTGCCAGCTTGGATGGGGAGGGGGAGGGGGAGGACACGGACTGCCCGCTACCGGGCAGCACACATGGACCTGGTTTCTAGCTTTTATTTTTTTTTCTTTTTAAGATACTATTTATTTATTTGACAGACAGAGACACAGCAAGAGAGGGAACACAAGCAGGGGGAGGGGCAGAGGGATAGGCAGGCTTCCCGCCGAGCAAGGAGCCCGATGGGGGGCTCCGATCCCAGGACCCTGAGATCATGACCTGAACTGAAGGCAGACACTTAACGACTGAGCCACCCAGGCGCCCCACCGGTTTCTACCTTTATGGGTGAGAGAAATCTCTTTCTTGGGCATGTTTCCCCACGGAGATGTGATCCCAGAGGAAATTCCCACATTCACCACCACTCTCTTGGAGCTCATTCCTCCCTGAGCCACAGAGCAGCAACTGGGTCCCTTGACGGGGTGCCCCTGCTTCCTCAGGTTGGGGATGGGAGCCAGGCCTTGCCATTGGCACCCCATTGGGGGGCGGGGGAGCCCCACGTAGGGTAGAAGGAATACCTGTTCTGGAGGGTAGAGGCTGCAGGGGCTGGAGCACCAGGGGACGTGTCTGGGGGCCTAGAACGTGGCCCTCATAGTGACCTGGGGTCTGAGCCCTTAAGAGCCCCTTCTCTGGGGAGGTCCTGAGGATGTCCCCAGGGCAGGACCCTCTGAGCCCACTCTCTGGCGCAGATGGGGTGACAGGCTGAACCAGAGCAGCCTGGCCAAGCTAGCATGGCCCAAGGGGTCTTGGCTGCGTACCGGGTTTTCCCACTTTGGGACTAGGCCGTCCTTGGCGGTCTGGGCCCTGGGGTGGGGCTGGGCTTCCGCGAGGAAGCCAGGCTGAGCGGGCCATGGGTCTGGGCACACCCCCTGTGGCGGGCTGTCAGCAGCCTTTGTTCTGGGACCTGGAGCGGATACCCTGGGAAGGGGGAGGAGGTGGCTGGCACTGGGCATCAGGAGGCCTTCCTGTCCCCCGGGAGAACTGAGAAAGGGGGCAGGTGGGCTGCATGCCTGGTGGTGGGGCACGGAGCTGGTGGGGCGTGATCCCTGCGGTGTTTGTCTGGGGGCGTGGGAGCCCCACAGGGCTTCTGTGAGCCTGCTCCCTCTTGCCCTGATCTTATCCCCTGGTGGTCTTTCCCATCTTGCAGTAGGCGGGGACAGTGGGACCCTCTTCCTTCCCATTTGGCAGATGGAGAAACTGAAGTTCCATGAGTAAAGTCCTGGCTGGGAAGGGCACGGGGAGGCCCAGGCCTTGGCTCCCTGCCCTGCCTGGTGGACCTTGGCCTCCGGGAACCCTCAGACCTGAGAGAATCAAGCTGTTGGTCTGACATTGCGGGGCACCAGCCTCAGAAGTGGGTCTCCTCCGGAGGGATGCAGGAGGGCTCCCCCGCTGGTGGTTTCCCGAGTCCCAGTGGCCTGCCTGGGGGTCCTCCCAGCCTCCTGCCAGCCTGAGGCTCCCCCTTACCTGTGCCCAGGGCAGGGTGGGTATTGTTTCTGACAGCCTGGCTCAGGCTGCACCGCAGGGTAGGTACTGGCTCAGATGCCCTGGCCCCACCGGGCCTCTGCCATGGGGTTTCAAGGAGCTAGGCAGAGAGAGCTGGGGCTTGCTGTGGGGAGAGACCCCTCCCTTTCCAGACAGCCCTCTGGGGCCTGCCATGGAGGAGGGACTCCCCCCAGCAATCCCCTCCTTTCCCTGCCCACTGCAGCCACACTGCCCAGATCTGGCTTCAGGTGGGGAACGCTGACCCTTCCCAGCTGTGTTCTTACCTGTGATGGGGCAGGTCAGCCCATGTCTCAGCCCTGTGAGGCCACGAGGAAGGATACGGCAGGGGTACCAGTGCAGAGGGGGGCCGGGGTCCAGCGTCGGGGTATAGGCTGGGGTGGTGGGGTGTGAGGCCAAAAGCGTTGAGGACTAGAACTGCCAGGGTCCGGAGGCTGTGCCCTCCCTGGGGGACAGTGGGGGACAAGGAGGACCCCAGCTGCCACCACCCACCAGACAGGGGAACTGAGGCGCAGAGCTTTGGCACAGCTACTGACCATTGGCAGTGAGCCCTCCCTGGGCACTTGGGGAAACTGGGCCAGTGTGGTGCTGGTCTCCAGAGGAGATGCTGGGCTTGGTCACAGCCCAGCCATGTGTGCTGTGCCCTCTGGGCTGTTCCGTCTCCGACTCTGGGGAGGAGAGCTCCTGTGGGTGGGCCTTGTGCCTCGGCAAGGGCCCCAGAACACACTGGCTGCTTTGGCGGTTCGGGTCCCCAGGAGCTCTGCCCTGCCCGCCCCAGGTTTGGGCAGCTTGCCCTCAGAGGCCAGCCGGCTCAGGGCTCCCTGGGCAGGCCCCCCGCTCCCACTGGCCTGGCTTGCTGGCCCGGCTGGGTGCTTGGCCATGTGGCCAGCACCCTGGGGCTGTCAGCGGGGTTGTTCAAGGGAAGTGGCAGGATGTATGGCCAAGGCTGGCCAGGCTTTGGCTATGGAGCCCCACAGCCAGGACAGGTGTGGGGGCTGGACCGGACACGGGCCCTTGAGCTGGGCTCCCTGGGGGGGGATACTGGCGGGTGCTGGTGGCATCCCTGCAGTGGACGCGCCCTTCTCCAGTATGGGCCCTGCCTCTCCTCATGAGAATGAGCAGGACCCTTTGCTCAGAGGACATGGCACCAGAGGGGCCGCCCACACTCAGGCCTGGGGGCCATTTGTTGCCAACCCTGCGCATCTCATCACTGACCCGCTTGCCTGCAGCTGTCTGGGCACACTCATCTCTGCTCACACTGGACACACGCACCTCCCCGCCACCTCCTATGTCCCCCCCCCAAGACCCTGGCGGCCCCCAAAGCCTCCTGTTCTCTGTGTTTAAACAAACCGCACGTGTTGGTCTCCAGCAATACCAGTCACCAAGACTAAACTGTTTAGGTTTGGGGGCTCCCCGGGGATAAACTCTACTTCCTGTGGCCAACGGTTGACCATCTGGCCTGACCTGGGCCAGGCTTCAGGGAGGAGGGGACGCGGCAGGGAGCTCTGGGCCGGGGACCCGAGACAGCCCGTGGCGGTGGGGGTCTTGGAATAGCCACAGGCCCCGCGCTGGCGAGGTGCTGAGCCATGTGGGACATTCGCCCTCCTCTCTCGCTGGTGGGGTCCTGCACACCTGTCAGGGGTCCTCCCACCCCCCATTCCCCGAAGGTCTCCCCCACTGCTCTGCACACCTGTGCGGCGGACGCCCTGACTGGCAGAGCGCTGAAGCCGCCCTGCATCCTCTGTGTGTCCGTGTTCTGCTCTCCTGGGGCCATGGCTTTCCATGCCCTGCCCCTCCTGGCCCTGTTTTCAGGCTCCCGATCCTGTTGTGTGGACGTCCATGCTTATTTACCCAGCTGGGGGCTCGAGGAGACACGCCTGCCCTGGCCCACCAGCCCTGCTCTGCCATCTGTCTTCACTGTTATCTGTGTTTCCTGATGGGGTCTCTGCTGGGAGGGTGGGCAGGCTGGGGGTGCGGGGCCCTGAGGGTGGGCTCTGACAGTCTGGGGTAGGGGGGCATCCAGGAGGTCTGGGTGCCCCAGTGCTCACTCCAAGGGGAACCCGGACGCCTGGTCTAGGAGGGGCTTCCTGCCTCTGCCCGGCCACAGCCTGGGACCCTGGCCCATCCCGGGAATCGGCATGGGGCCTCGCTTCCTGTGGGGCCAGGGCTGAGTCACAGACTGCCCGGTGATTCACGCCGCCCAGCCCAGCGGATGGGGGGGCCGGCTCCCTCCCTTCCCCCCACTGCCCCCGGGACAGGGGCACGAGGGCCGGCCTGGGTCTTCCCGGCCCTGAGATCGGCTGGGGCAGAGGGGGGGTGTGCCAGCCACGGCCCTGCCCTTGGTGATGTGGGTCCCTCAGCCCAAGAGGTTGCTGATCAGCTCTCCCCCTCTGCCCCCCTTCCCATCCCTGGGGGCCCCAGAGACCCCCGCTGGGGTCTGTGGGAGTAATGTTCTTCTTTAGCCCTCCCCATGTCGTCCAGACCCCAGCCCTGCGTGCACACACACACCCCACCCCCACCCCTGCAGCTTCCCTGCCAGGGGTCTGCTAACTCCTGCTTGCCCATTTCCAGGGGTAGGTGGTGTCTGCCTGCTTCGGGCTCTTGAGAGGCGCTGGGTCCCGGCCCATACCTCTACTGTGTTTGTCTTCCTACTGCCCCACGTCCCAGGAGGGGAAGTGACAGCCGGGGCCACACAGCCACTGAAGCCTGGAACCCACCCCGGGCCTCCTGCCCTGGCCCCGGCCCCCCTCAGGCAGTGGTCACCAGGGCATGTCCCCTCCTGGGGAGCCCTGACCCTCTGTGCTCAGGCTGGGCGTGGGGGCCAGGGGTGCGGTGGCCGAGAGGCAGGTCCGGCTGCTGTGCTGGAGACGTGCCTGCCCCCAAAATAGCCAGATTTTTAAAAATAACTCGGGAGGCTTTTGTTTGGCTTTTGCTTTAAAAGACATTTTTTTCCTTCTGCACAGAACTTTGTAGCAGCGGGAAAGGTCAGCCCCAGTTGGCAGTGGGGCTGAGCAGGCGGGCCGTGGCGGGGGGGGTGCGGGGGCCTGAGTCCAGGGAGGCCAGGGGTCTGCTCATGCTCCCAGGTCCTGTCCAGGGCAGCTGTGGGGTTCTGGCAGCCGGAACCAGTTGGAGACAGATGGGGAATGCTGGGTGCATGGCTGCCTCTCCTCCAGCCCATGGCCTTGGGGACAGCCGTCAAGGGCCCCTGTGTGATAGGCGAGGTGGCAGACAGATGGAGGCAGGGGTCTTTCTTTAAGCATGTCCCAGGGTGCTGTGCACCGGGGCGGACGCTTCCACGCTGCCCTGGTCCTGCCTGATCAGTGCGTTGGAATCAATATTTGTGCAAGTGCTCTCAGCTGGGAAAAATGCGGCCAGCCGCCGACCTGGGGGAGGGACAGAGCTGGCCGGCAGAGGGTGCAGCCTGGTGGCCTCACTCAGGGAAAGGCGGGGGTGGGTCCCAGGGGGGCTTGGCGGGAACCTTTAATTTCCTTAGGGCCTTTGGTGGGGGCCAAGCTGCTGGCCATCCCCCAAGAACGGCCTGTGGGTATCTTACACACACCCAGCCCCCGGCCACTCCCTGCCCTTCTCCCCCCGCCCTTCCTCACGAAGACCCCTCCTGGCATAGGGGCCGTTTGAGGTCCTCCCGGGGCTCCCTGGAGCACCTGAGGGTCAGCCAAGGTGCCAGGCTGGGTGTAGGGTGTGTACCCCCAGAGACTGAAGCTCCTCCCTCGATGGGCAGGGCTAAGTGGACGATGACGTCTGAGCCTGGCTGTGGGTAAATAAGCCTGTGCCCCCCCACCACCCCGGGGAAAGGCGGCTCTTGACTTGAATTGAGCCTGTCTCTGCAAACACCAGGCCTTCTGGGAAGGGCAGGACTCCAAACGGGCGTGTCTCAGGGGCTGGGACCTCCCCTCCACCCCCCATTCTTAGCAGCCTGTGCCCACCTTCCCTCATGGGATCACCACAGCGGCCTCAGGTTGATGGGGGGTGGGGGGCTGACTGTGGGCCACGGACAGCCCTGAAGGGGCCCCTTCCCTGTCCTGTGGGGCCCCTATGCTCTGGGCCCAGCCCAGCGGGTCTGGGGCAGCAGGTGCTAGAGAGGACCTGCTCCCAGGGCTGGTGGGGCCCCGCTGAGGGCACAGGGGGCGGCCCGGAGCGTGATGTCACCCCTGAGGCTGGTGCACAGTTCACTGCCTACCTGGGGGTGCCCTTGGGAGGGGGCCTGGGGTGGGGGCTCCCATCTCAGGCCCCCAAGGGGCATGTCTGCCAGCTCTGTCCACCCTTGTCTGGGGCCCCCCACTCGTCTTGAGCGTCTGGCCCTCCCAATGCAGACTGGGGGTGTCCCGGGCCCCACTGCCTTCTCTGCCTGGGTCTCCTTGGAGCCCAAACATACCCTGCACAGAGTCCAGCTTGGACAGTGGCCCTGCCTGCTTTGTTGTTCTCTTGGCTCCGGGGCAGAGGGCTGGGGGAGGGGAGGCACTGGCTGGCCCTCAGAGCCCCAGAGCCTGGAAACCACCGTCTCTCCCCCCAGACCACTCCCCGATGGCCATCACGTAGGAGGCTGAGGCTGGGGTGGGTGCCCGGACGCCACCCCCGGACTTGTGTGTGCAGGGGCGCAGCAGACATGCATGGCTGGGTGTGTGAGGGTGGCGCTCTCCGCCGGCCACCCTCCGAGTGGTCTCGGTGGCCCAGCCTCATCATCGAGGCCCTGGGCTGGGCAGGTGCTTCTGTGCCCCGGAGCCCTTTCCTGGGACCTGTGGCCCAGGGTGGGGTGTCTGGGTGCTGATGTGGGGACCCCTTGCCATGTGTTATATCCCCAGGGAGCTGGATGAGGGGTACCTTTTGCAGTGAGAGCCCAGCCCTGCAACCTGGAAGGGTCCTCCGGCCTCTGGGGGACAGCTGCCTCTTGGAAGGGGCCCTTAATTATCCCTCCCCACGTGTCTGTATAACCAGCGCCTCTGAGCGAGCATGGATGGGCCAGTCAGGAGGGCTTCCCTGAGGAGGCGTCCAGAGTGCCCTCTGGAGGCTGTGCCAGATGAGGCTGGGGGGCCAAGGCTCAGACCTGCTAGGTGCAGGGCTGGGGGACAGTCGACAGAGGAAGGACCCCAGCAAGCTCCCAGGGGCACAAGACATAGGGGCATCCACTGGGATGCTGACCTCTGGTCAGGAAGAGGTGAGAGACAGGCATGAACACGCCCTGGGAGTGAGGTTGTGCTGGGACCAGGGACAGAACAGCACAGGTGGGTCTGGGCTGGGGCTTGAGGGGTTCTCGGGGCCTCTGGAGGAGCAGCTTCACCCTTCCTCCCCGCCCCGGTGCTGCCCTGACATGCCCAGGGCCCCATGACGCTCCAGCCTCCAGCTCCTGGGCTGCTGGGGTCTCCCCGGCCCAGCCCCAAGAGGGCTCTTTCCCTGGTCTGTCTAACCCACTGGGGCCTCCTGATGAGGGCAGGGGCCTGTCCCTGGGGCCTCGGTGGCCATGGGCTGGTCAGAGGGAGAGAGGGCAGGTCCTGAGTCAGCCCTGAGAATGATGAGGGGGTGACCAGAGTGGGGCTGGGACAGGGGCCCCCTCCTGGGAGCTGCGAGCTGTTTGAGGAGGCCAGGCTCATGTGGGAGCTTGGGCTACCATCTGGCCACCTGCCCAGGCTGGCCACCAGACCTTCGGGGGCCGTGGAATGAACCCCTGTCTTGGCCAGCCCGGCCTCACTGCCCGGACACTGTGGACAGGCTGCCCCCACGTGTCCCTTCCATCCCAGCTCCCCACAGGCCCCCCTACGGCCTCAGAGCCTGAAGGACCCCTGTGCCTCTGGGGCAGGGATGGAGGGCGGCACCTCCAGGCCCAGGAGGGGAGACATTCAGAAACGGTGGGTTCCCACGCTTTGTCTCTGGGTCCTGGGTGAGAGCCTGAGTGAGCTGGGGGGCTGCCCCTTGACCCGGCTGGCCCCCATAGGCCAAACCCCCAGATGACCAACGTGGGAAAAGAGAGCCCACCTCACAGGGTGAGGCAGCGCTCCGGGTGTGTGTGCAGGGCCCTGAGCTGAGTGGAGGGGGCCTGGGGGCGTCAGTACCTCGCCACCCCCACAGGTCTTCCACGTGGCCTATGTGCTCATCAAGTTCGCCAACTCGCCACGGCCAGACCTCTGGGTGCTGGAGCGGTCCACAGACTTCGGACACACCTACCAGCCGTGGCAGTTCTTTGCGTGTGAGTCTCCTGGCGGGGGCTGGTGGGGGGCGTCACCAGGTGCTCTCAGGGTCCCCGCCCCCGCACGCGTCAGGGGTGTCGGCTGTGAGTTCCCAAAGGCAGGTGCATGTCAAGCAGCTCCTGTCCCTGGGGTTGGGCACGGCTGGGCCCAGGGGCCGGTGCGACCAGGAGTCCCTGGTGCCACCTCTTGGCTCCTTCTTGACCGGCTTCGTGGTCCGGCAGCTCCTGGAGTAACACGGGGAGCTGGTCAGGAGGCATGGCGGCTCCCTAGCCCGTCACGTCCAGGGCCTCCATGACCGATCGCATTGATGGGGAGCCTCCTGTTGGGTGGACCTTGGTTGTGGGTCCCCCAAAACTCCATGGGCAAGAGTGGGGGGAGGGCAGTCCTCTGGAGGGCAGTTGGAAATGGACCACCGAGGACGGGAATGAGGATGGCCGTCTGGGATTGGGGGGCATTTGTTCTCTGCAGAGAGAGGGGCAGGTGTGGCGAAGGCCAGGAGGGGTCAGTCCAGGAGATGTGGGCAGGTTCAGAATTGCCAGGCTCTGGGCTCGGCAGCGGTCAGCCTGCACCCCAACCATGCCCTCCTGGGGAGGCTCCTCTCTCAGCCGCGCGCCTCACTCTTTCTTCAACAAAACCCTGTGGGGTTGGCGGGGTGGCCCATCGAGGCGCAGCAGTACTTGAGAGCGATCCTGGGGCTCTGCGCCCTTACCTTCCGGCCCGGTCCCCACAGCCTCCAAGAGGGACTGCTTCGAACGGTTCGGGCCACAGACGCTGGAGCGCATCACACGGGACGACCACGTCATCTGTTCCACTGAGTACTCTCGGATCGTGCCCCTGGAGAACGGCGAGGTGGGCCCCGGGGCGGCCCCGGGGCCGGTCCCTGCTAGTGTGTTGGGGGCGGCCCCCACCCTGGCCTGACCCTCTGCCCTGTGTGCAGATTGTGGTATCCCTGGTGAACGGGCGCCCCGGGGCCATGAACTTCTCCTACTCGCCCCTGCTGCGTGACTTCACCAAAGCTACCAACATCCGCCTGCGCTTCCTACGCACCAACACGCTGCTGGGCCACCTCATGGGCAAGGCGCTGCGGGACCCCACCGTCACTCGCCGGGTGAGACGCCAGCCAGTGTGCTGCGGGGCCGGTCGGGCTGGGCCGGGCTGGGGGGGGGCCCCTGGCGCTCACCGCCCTCCGCCCTCCGCCCCCCGGGTACAGTACTATTACAGCATCAAGGACATCAGCATCGGCGGCCGCTGTGTCTGCCACGGCCACGCAGACGTTTGTGATGCCCAAGACCCCACGGACCCCTTCAGGTGAGGCCCGCTGCCCCTGCCTGTCCTTCTCATCCCCTTCCCAGCTCAGGGAGGAGGAGACCTGGTCCCGTTGCCTGCTGTGTCCCTGGTCCTGCGTGCCCTCCCCTGGCCTCCGTTCCCTTATGTGCGCGGTGAAGGGGAAGGTTGTCTTGTGCCCGGGTCGGGCCTCCTTGTCCTGCGGCCAGTGGCCTCTCCATCCCCTCCAGGGTCCTGTGCCGGGCAGTTGGGGACGTCCTTGGCCGGAGGCTGCACGTCTCTGTTCTCCAGCCACCTCCCTTCCCTCGGGACACAGATAGCGCTCCCTGCTGTCCCCATCTTCTCCCCCGGCGCGGTCCTTGTGTACAGCGTCGGGCACCGAGCTCAGGTGCTCCTCGTCGCTCTGGGAAATTAAGTGCCAAGTGAGAACTCGAGCTGGCCGGGAGGGGGGCCCGCTGGGTGCCAAGTTGGCCTCAGGGGAGAGGCAGGCCTGCCCTTGCCTGCTGGGAAGGCGTAGGTATCCACTCTGACTCACCTGTACACGGGTGTGCCCTGAGCCCGGCTCAGCCCCAGGGGCACAAGGGGTGGGGTGGGCCGGACAGCTTCTCCAGAACCAGACACCAATACCTCCCCCGCCGCAGCACGCACACCAGTGTCCCAAACACCAGCCTGCCCAGCTCTCCCTGCTCCCATCTCCTGCTGCCTCAGCCTGTCTTCGGGAGGGCTCTGCCCCTTCTCAGCCGCACACCCCGTCATCTCCAGCCACCACCCCACCTCCACCTGCACTGCCCACACTCCCGGCCCCACTGCTGCCGGGACCCCCAGCCCCACCTCCCCCGTCCCCCCGGCCCCACATCCCCCGTCCCCCGTCCACACCTCCCCCGTCCCCCTGTCCACACCTCCCCCGGCCCCACCGGCACCACCACCATCCCCTCCAAGCCCACCTCCTCCTCCCTCCATCACCACCACCACTTTGCCAGCTACCAGCCTCACTCTGTACCAAACCCTCATTCACTCTCCCCCTTTCCTTTGGCTTGGAAGTTACGTGTTTTGTTTCTGTCGCTGGCCTGGTCCAGCTGGGCTGCCATCACAAAATACTGTAGACGAGTGGCTCAGAAACAACAGAAACTTACTTCTCACCGTTCTGGAGGCTAGCGAGGGCCCACGTCTTGGTGTGTCTTCACGTGGCACAGAGGGTGAGGGAGCTCTCTGGGGTCCTTTTACAAGGACACTAATCCCACTAATGGGGGCTCCACGCTTCAGGCCTGATCAAAGGCCCCACCTCCAAATACCATCGTCTCGGGGACTAGGCGTCACACTCTTGGGGGACACACGCTTTCAGCCGGCAGCGGTGCTGTGTAGTGTAACGGCAGCCCTTTGCAACAGGCCTACGTGACCAGCTGTCATGTGGCCCCGCTCACATGGCGCCCGTGAGCACTAGCCCCACATGTGGCGCTTCTGTCCGGCAGGAGCTCCGTCACCACTGCCCGGGAGCCGCCTCCTCGTCCGCCCAAGCCCTGGCTCCGCATCCTTCCTTGACTTACCTTGCACCCCTGGGCACTCAGTTTCCTTTTCCTAAAATGCATCCTTTAGTTGTTCTTCCCGGGAGTCTGAGTCCTTTGTCCGATGACCGTTGATGCGGTGGTTGTCTTGGCCTCCCTCTCAGGGGACAGTTTAGCTGATTGCAGAACGTGGGTTGGTGGCCATGCCAACACTTCAGAGAAGCCTCCTCCTCGTCGCTTGGCATCCCAGATGGTTGGCGGAGTCCGTGGTCACCCGCATTGCTGCCCCTCTGGCTTGTCTGCTGCTTCTGGAGGGTTCCATGACCTTCCCTGGTGCTCTGCAGATTTCCTCTGTGGCGTCAAGGAGCGGACATGTCTTCCGTGGCTCAGGATTCCTGCCTTTTGAATCTGAGAGTGCGGGTCGTTAACCCAGGGCCGTTCCGGGCTGGAGCTCTGCCTGTCAGCTCTCCTCTTCTACCTCTTTTCTTCTTTCCGGAATCCTGTTCTGTCGACGGGCTCTTCCTGTGGTTTCCTTCTGTCTCCGAGTTTCTCCTGTGACCCCCTCCCTGCCTTCTGAGCTGCCTCTGGATCGGTACTTCGGTTCGCCGAATCTCCAGCCGAGCGTCATCCGTCCGCTGTCTTCAACTCCAGTGACTTTGTTTTCCATGTATAGAAGTTCCGATTGGTTCTTTGGCCACATCTCCCTATTTTTCATAGCATCACATTTTTTATGTTTTGGGTTCCTTTTGTTATAACTTCAAACGTTCTTATTTTATGGTTTCTACCGACTTGCTCCCAAGTTCTTGCGGTTGGATGCTGCTGACCATTGTGTTGATGGGCCGGCCGTGTTGTGTCCCCTGTGGTTCTTTAGCGGTGCCTCATCTGTGCCCTGGTTGGGGATGGTCACACCCGAGTGGTTTGGTGAGGGCCGTTGCCAAACGCCCCAGGGTACCACTGCCAGGCTTCACTTCCTATCTTGTTTCTTGGTGCCCTGACTGTGCAGACTATGGCGGAGCCAGACGCCAGCCACGGGCCCGACGTCACAGACCGTCAGAGCTGGGGCGAAGACAGGCCACTCAGGCCGCCGCTCCGGGGCAGGCCGCTCCTGCTTCCTCTCCCTCAGAGGCCTTCTAGATAGCCCCAGACCCCGAGGGCAGCCGTGTTGATTCTGAAGGCCCCACAGATTCTTGGTGGGGGGGACAGGCTCTAACTGTGTGGTCTGAGGTCCACAGAGCAGGCAGCGCACCCCCCTTGGCTGAGTTCTGGAGGTGTGTGTCGGGTGGGGCCATGGGAGGGGTGGGTCTGAGCAGTAGGTGGCTGTGGCCAGCTTTCCCCCTGACCACTGAGCCAACGGGAGCTGCTCTCTGGGACGGCAAGCAGGACTCCAGCCCTCTGACTGGTATCCACCCCCGCTGGAAGGGGAAATAGCTCCTGGCCCCTCGCCCCTGGGGAGGCGCCCTGGAGGCATGGGGGCGTCTGGCAGAGCTCACACTGCTGAGTGAGACCGGGGCCTTGGAGCTGGCCCAGGGAGGCTGTGGGCTTGGTCTGAGGGCCTGGTGGTGAGGAGGGGTTAGCTCGATCCTGAAGGCCCCAGAGCTCCAGGCTGCCCTGCAGGCAGGGGCCACCTACACTCACCACACAGTGCCCCATCCCAGGCCCCACCCACCAACACATCCTGCCCCCTCCTTCCCCCTCCATGAAGGCTGGGCGCAGCCCCTTGTGTCCCCCGGTCCACAGTGTGGCCCCTCCCATCCCCTGTGTCCCCACAGGCTTCAGTGCGCCTGTCAACACAACACGTGTGGGGGCTCCTGTGACCGCTGCTGTCCCGGCTTCAACCAGCGGCCGTGGAAGCCGGCCACCACCGACAGTGCCAACGAGTGCCAGTGTGAGTGCCCAGCATGTGCACACCTGCACACACGCTCACTTGCACACACTCACCTGCACACACACTCACCTGCACACGCTCACCTGCTCACTTGCACACACTCACCTGCACACCTGCACACACACTCACCTGCGCACATGCTCACCTGCACACCCACTTACCCGCACACCTGCTCACCTGCACACGCTCACCTGCACACCTGCTCACTTGCTCACCTGCACACCCACTCACCTGCACACACACTCACCTGCTCACCCTCTTACCTGCACACACACTCACCTGCTCACACATTCACCCGCTCACCTGCACAACACTCACCTGCTTACACATTCACCTGCTCACCCGCTCACCTGCATACACACTCACCTGCACACCTGCTCACCCGCTCACCTGAACACACACCCACTCACCTGTACACACACTCACCTGCTCACCTGCTCACTCTCACACCAGCTTACCTGCACACCTGCTCACCTGCACACACACTCACCCAGCTTTGCCGTGGCCTGAGGCATGCTCCGGCCACATGGTGTTTGCTGTCACCCAGACCAGGCCACACCTGGGGTCACCGGTGGTTTGTGAGGTGGGGTCATGGGGGGGCCTGTGAATAGCTGTGCCCTCTTCACTCCAGCTTGCAATTGCCACGGCCACGCCCACGACTGCTTCTACGACCCTGAGGTGGACCGGCGCAACGCCAGCCAGAACCAGGACAACATCTACCAGGGCGGGGGCGTGTGCATCGACTGCCAGGTGGGACGGGGCCGCGCCGGCCTGTGGCGGCAGCTAGGGTGGGTCTGGGGCACTGGGGTGGTAGGCTGGACCCCAGCATGGTCAGTGTACCCAGGGTTGGGATGGGGGGAGAGAGGGGGGTGGGAGGGTCCCTGCACTCAGTGGCCCTGTCCTGCCCCAGCATCACACCACTGGCATCAACTGTGAACGCTGCCTGCCCGGCTTCTACCGGGCCCCGGACCACCCTCTCGACTCTCCCCACGCTTGTCGCCGTGAGTGGGGTTGGCCCGGGGGAAGGGGTGTCCAGAGGGGGGTGCTCGCACTGCTCTGGGAGGCCCGGCCTGGCTCTCCTCCCCCTGCCCGCGCTGGGGAGGCAGCTGGGCCCCAGGCTTGGGCTCTCACGACTCCCTGGCCCCCACCCAGGCTGCGGCTGCGAGTCGGACTTCACAGACGGGACGTGTGAGGACCTGACCGGCCGCTGCTACTGCCGGCCCCACTTCACGGGGGAGCGTTGCGACGCGTGCGCCGAGGGCTTCACTGGCTTCCCGCGCTGCTACCGTGAGGGCGTCAGCCTGGGGGGCCGGGGGCAGAGCCGGGGCGCTGTCCCCGGAGCCCTGTCGGGGACCCGGGGTGGGGACCCCGGGTGGAGCCTGCCTACGCCCAGAGGTCCTGCCTACCTCTCCGGTGGTGCTGTGCCGACCCGGCTGACCCGCGCTGTCTCCCCCCTCAGCGGTGCCCTCCTTCTCCCCCAATGACACCGGCGAGCAGGTGCTGCCAGCCGGACAGATTGTGAGTAAGTGTCCTCCGAGGCCCCGTCCTGCCCCCCCGAGAGTGGGATTGTCATTGCGGTCGCCTCATGTTCGGCTCTTGTATTATTATGCAAATAATGCGTTTTCATGCTAGGAAAACTTCAGGAGTGTAGGTAAGCCCAAAGCAGAAGACCGAAGGTACCCAGAGTTGCATCACTTTCAAACGACCCCTCTCCCCACAGCTGGGACCGTCCTGGGGGCTGCACACGGTGCTGGTGCGGACTCGGATGTGTGCCGTGGGCGCTGCTCCAGGTTTCCTCCCACCGCGGTCCTGTAAACGTGCCACCTCATGTTCTCTGTCATCGGACAGATGCAGTATTTCTTCAGTCAACCCCCAAATTGTTGGAAATTTAAGTTCTTTCCAATTAAAAAAAAAATGCTACAGTAAACATCCTTGTAGCTAAAACTTTCCCTAAATTCTCAGTAATTTCTGTGGAACAATTTCCTAGAAGGTTCTGAGTCACGAGACATGCCTGTTCTGGGACCTATTTGGCTATAGGTTGCCAGATCGCTCTCTTGAAAGAAACCACGTTCAGTGTCATGACAGTGGCATCCACGGGCGCGCACGGTCCTCGCTGGACGGCGGGCACTGCTTGTGACTGTCAGCTCGGCTGGCGGGACGCTCACCTGGCAGAGACCGCCTGCCCCCGTGTGTTTCTGGAATCGGGCGCGCCTCAGGGGACAGTGTGTCAGTCTGACCGGCCGGCGGGTTTTCTTCCTAATGGCATCACGTGGCGAGCTCGGCCGCTGGCAGTGTCTCAATTAGATCACATTTGACATTTGTCGTCTTCAGCGTGTCTTTGACCCGTCTGTGAGGTGACTTTGCACTTTTTCTCCCGGGGAGCGTGTCATCCGGGGTCTTTGCTCTCTGCACACCCCTCTCCCCGCAGGGCCCTCTGCCCCTGTGGGGCATTCTTTCCTGCGCTGGCGTGTTAACCCTTAGGTGGTTCTGTGGACGTGGTTCTTGCCTCTGACTCACCTCTGACTCAGTCGTTCGGAGGCGGCACGCCCTAAGCTCACTTACCCTCATGCCTGTTGGTCTTTGATGGTTTCTTCTTTACGTGTTGGTGTCAGGTTCTCATCGGTGCTGTAAACGGGGGTCGGCAGACTTCTTCCAGGAAGGACCAGACGGTGCTTGCTTGCTTTCGACTGTGAGGGCCGGGCGTCCTGCTGTGCGTGGCTCTTGAGCTCCGCCGTCACGTGCTGTAGCTGGAACGTGGCATCGAACGTGTGGACGTGAATGGGCCTGGCCGTGTTCCGATAACACTTTATTTGCAGACCAGCCAGAGCAGCCCTGGGACTGTGGTTTGCTGGTGCCCAGGGGAAGTGCTGAGGAGCCCTCCTGTCCCCACGGCCCGGGGCCGGCGCTCCGGAACAACCCATGCCAGTGGGGGTTCAGCGCAAGGCAACTAATCGTACAGTGAATCCTATGCATGCCTTGCCTAACGTGCACCCGTGTGTCTGTATTCGTAAGGGACACTAGTTGAAAGCTTCCTTGGTCATTGTTTTTGGGTGTGTGTGCCATCTTGCTTTGGTTTTCTAATTCACCTTGAGGATACTTGGAAAACGACCCATGCTTGGTTATGCTCCACAGTGGGCTAAAAATCACAGGAATCATCCATCTCTTAAAAGTTTGATAGAACTTATAAGGATGCCTGGACCTGACACCTGTCCAGTGGAGATCTTACATTGTGGTTCTCGTTTTTTCCGTGGTTCTTTTATCTGTTCGTTTCCCACCTCAGCGTAAGTCCGTTTTAGTCATTTTTATTTCTTAGCAAATTGTGTCCTTTGGATTTTAAAATGTATTGGTATAAAAATCACGTGCAGCATTCCATTGTGATTTATACATTTCATTTCTCTTACTGTCTATTTTGATTTCTTTTATTTCCTTCATTTATTAGACCTATCAGAAATTTGCTGAATTTATTGGTGTTTTCAAAATACAGCTTAAGATTCTACCTATAAGATCTGCTGGGGTTTTTCTCTTTTCAGTTTGGTGGAAAGATTTAACTTCCTTTTTTTTTTAAGATTTTATTTATTTATTTATTTATTTGAGAGAGAGACAGCATGCGCGACAAGTGGGGAGAGTGGCAGAGAGAGAGGGAGAGGCGGACTCCCTGCTGAGCAGGGAGCCTGACACAGGGCTCGATCCTGGGACCGTGAGATCATGACCCGGGCGAAGGCAGACGCTTAACCGACTGGGCCCCCCAGGCGCCCCTGCAGTCCGCTATGATCACGCACAGTCGCCACGCTGGCCCTCACGGCCCCACACCTTACTCTCTTTATGCCTGGAAGTCTGTGCCTTCCCCGTGTCTCCCACCCCCAGCCCGGCGGCCACCGTGTTCTCTGTTTCCGTGAGCTCAGTGCTCCGTTTTTGTGCTAGATTCCACATAGAAGTGAGATCACTCGGTGTTTGTCTCTTTTCTTTGTTTTGTTTCATTACTGCTCTCCTGGCTTCTTGGATTTATTAGTTTCACCGTCTTAATTATTGACAAACAGCCGTGGCGCACTGGTTCTCATTCAGGGGTGATCCTGATCCACAGGAGAGTGTCTGGAGACAGTTGGGGTTGTGACGACTGAGGGGTGCCACGGGCATGTCGTGGGCGGGCCGGGTGCGACCCAGCCCAGAGCCCCAGCAGCGGTGCCCAGGCCGGGGAACCCGGGTTGTGGCTCAGCCGTGCTGTCCCCGAGGGCGAGGGCAGCCCTGGCCGGCGCCTCCCACGGGGTGGTTAGATGGGCTTTCTGTCCTTGTTTGATGGCTCAGTCCTAGTTTTATTGCACTGGGGACAGATAGGGTCTTTGGAATTTGAGATTTTCTTTGCTTCTCACCTCGTACGTGATGCCTTTTAGAATGTTCCGTGAACGTGTGGCGGGCCCGCGTGTGCTGTGTGGGGTCAGGCCGCCACGTGCACGCCCACAGAGCACACGTGTTCATTATGCTGTCCCTGCTCCATCCTCATCAGGTTCTGAGGACAGTGTCTTCAATCTTTCTAGGCAGATTGATGGTTTTGCCAGATCCTCCCAGCTCAGGAGTTTCGGCCTTTAGCACCTCTCAACCCCGTGGTCCTGCTCTTAGAGCAAGGGGCTTCCTGCAGACCCAGGGGGCGAGCCCCCCTTCCACGCAGCAGCTCCCCGTCGTCCTGCTGATGCTTGTGGCCTTGGGTTCTCCGGAACCTTCTGGGGTCTCCATGCTCACCTTCTCTGCACCTTGCTGACCCTTCATGAAGCTCTCTGTGGCCCATCTGGGTCCTTGGTTCAAAGTGCATCTTTTCAAGAGAACATGACTTGATTTTCCTTCAAGAGCCAAACTGAGGCCTCTGGTTCTGTGTTGTGAGAGGAGCCGTGGCCTGGGTAGGGCCGTGGCCATCAGGCAGGGCTCGCTCCAGCTCTTTCTGTCTCATTTCTCCTTCTCCTTAGGTGTTTCCCGCCTGCGTCTTGCTGGGTTGGGCAACAGACTGTGGTTTGGTTTTGGATGATTTGTGTTTCCTTCTTGGAGGGTTGGCAAGCTCTGTTTCTCTCTTCTGGTCTGGCCCAAGGTCACCCTCTGTCCTTGACAAATATCAAACCATAATTTTCTGGGGCGCCTGGGTGGCTCAGTCAGTTAAACGTCTGCCTTCGGCTCAGGTCATGATCCCAGGGTCCTGGGATCGAGTCCTGCATCGGGTTCCCTACTCAGCAGGGAGTCTGCGTCTCCCTCTCCCTCTGCCCCTCCTCACGGGGCTTGTGCTTGCGTGAGCGTGCTCTCTCTTTCTCTCTCAAATAAATAAAATAAAAAAAAAACGTACTTTTCTATAAGTAACAAACGGTATTCATGGCCTCTTTTCATGCATAAGTTAAGACATTTAGCATGCTTTCGCTCCTGTTTTCCAAGCCGGAGAATTATTTATAAAGATTACGAGTCTCTTTTTGCTTTGTTATGATTTTGTTTTTACATTTTCTCTGGTTGTATCGACGCCTGCAGTTGACTTAGTAGCCATATCATAAACAGCTAGTTACTTGTAGTTTTAGCCGCCCCAATTTCATTGCACACACTTTTCCAGAGATGTCAGCTCTGCCTTCTGGGGGTTTTTGTCTTTTAGCTCTGTATGAGCGTAGCATAGAAGTGTAAGGAAGTGAGTCTGCGGTGGGCAGGGTTTCTGGCGGGGAGGGCTGGGGTCTGCAGGCATCTGAGACCCCTTCCCTCCCCCCCAGACTGTGACTGCAGCGCGGCCGGGACCCAGGGCAATGCCTGCCGCAAGGACCCGCGGCTGGGACGCTGCGTGTGCAAACCCGGCTTCCAGGGCGCTCACTGTGAGCTCTGTGCCCCAGGCTTCTCCGGCCCCGGCTGCCAGCGTGAGTGCAGCCCCGACCCCGTCCTCGCGCCGACCCCGGGCGCCCGTGTCCTCTGCGACTGAGCACGCATCTCCTCCCGCAGCGTGCGGGTGCTCCAGCCCTGGAGTGGTGGACGGGGACTGTGACCGAGACTCCGGCCGGTGCACCTGCCGGGAGGGCTTCGAGGGGCCCGCGTGTGACCGCTGTGCGCCGGGTTACTACCACTTCCCTCTCTGCCAGTGTGAGCGAGGCCTCCCCGCGGGCGTGGGTGGGTGGGCGTGGGGCCCGGGGCACGGCCCGCCTGGCTGAGGGGGCCCTGTGTGCTGCCTCGCTCCCTAGTGTGTGGCTGCAGCCCTGCGGGGACCCTGCCCGAGGGCTGCGACGAAGCTGGTCACTGCCCGTGCCGGCCCGAGTTTGATGGCCCTCACTGTGACCGCTGCCGCCCGGGCTACCATGGCTACCCCGACTGCCGCGGTGAGCAGAGGGCCAGGGCGGGGAGCAGGAGGGCCCGTCCCAAATGCCCAGGGCCTGACCCCGTGTCACCCGCAGCCTGCACCTGCGACCCCCGCGGTGCCCTGGACCAGCTCTGCGGGGCGGGCGGGACGTGCCACTGCCGCCCTGGCTACACAGGCGCCGCCTGCCAGGAGTGCAGCCCCGGCTTCCACGGCTTCCCCGACTGCGCCCGTGAGTGCCCGTGCAGGGGGCGGGGCAGGGGGCGTGTCCCCACCCCAGGCCCACACCCTGCCTTCCTTGCCCAGCCTGCCTCTGCTCCGCCGAGGGCTCCCTGCACGAGTCCTGCGACCCCCGCAGCGGACAGTGCAGCTGCCGGCCCCGCGTGACAGGGCTGCGATGTGACGCGTGTGCTCCCGGCGCCTACAACTTCCCCTCCTGTGAAGGTGAGCCTCGCGCGGTGTGCGTGGCGCGGGCTGCGTGTGCCCTTCGTGTGCGGTCCCCATGGCCGTGCACATGTCCCTGCGGTCGTCCGTGTGAGCCCGTGTGCGCGTTTTCGTGGGGTTGTCCAACATGTGCGGGTTCATCGGCCTGTGTTCACATGCTTTGGGCAGGCGTGTGTTCCCAGAGCTGTTTGTGCACAGTCCGTGTTCCCACACACGTCTGCAGCCACATGTGCTTGTCGCGTGTCCGTGACTGTTCCCTGCGGTGGGGGAGGGCGCGCGGGGACTGGAGACGGCAGGCACAGCCCATGGTTTCACGCCCGCCCACGTGTGTGGGAGGCACACCGGCCGGCTCCCGCGCAGCCAGGGGGCCAGCTGGGCCCGCGGAGGCCCTTGGCCATCGGAGTCAGTGACCGAGAAATGACCTCAGGCCGGTCTCTCCACAGCTGGCTCCTGCCATCCTGCCGGCCTGGCCCCAGCCAGTCATGGCCTTCCTGAGGTGAGCCCTGGTCAGCCCTCGGTGGAGGGCAGCCCGTCACTTCCAGGAGACGGTCACTTCCCCGGCTGCTCTGTCTCCTTGGCAACCTCTGGGCCTGTTTGGTCCCCGGGCTGGTCCTCTGTCCCCATTCCAGGGACATGCCAGAGATGGGTCCGGGTCAGGGCTCCAGGGCTGAGGGTTCCCGGTAGAAGGGCAGGGACCCATCCTGACCCTCAGTCTCGCCTTCTCCCAGGCACAGGCCCCCTGTACGTGCCGGGCCCATGTGGAGGGGCCCAGCTGCGATCGCTGTAAACCCGGGTTCTGGGGGCTGAGTCCCAGGAGCCCTGAGGGCTGTACCCGTGAGTCTCTGGGGTGGCGGGGGAGTGCGTGGGAGTGCGGGGAGGGGAGGGCGCCGGGAGGTGAGGGCTGGCCCCACAGCGTCCGGGCCCACTCTGCTCTCCTCCAGGCTGCAGCTGCGACCCCCGGGGCACACTGGGCGGACTTACTGAGTGCCAGCCGGTGAGTCGGAGGGCCGAGCTGCCCAGGGGCTGCGGGGCAGGCCTGGCCAGACCCCGCTCCCCCGGCCCCGGCTCAGTCTCCCCTTTCCCCTTGGCCGCAGGGCGACGGCCAGTGCTCCTGTAAGCCTCACGTGTGTGGCCAGACCTGCGCGGCATGCCGGGATGGCTTCTTCGGGCTGGACCAGGCCGACTACTTTGGCTGCCGCAGTAAGTGCCCGGCGGCCCTCAGCCCGCGTCCTGGGGGAGGCTGAGGCGAGGGGGGGACGATGAGGCAGGCGCCTGGGTCTGGGAAGGCCTATGCTGGGCACGGGAGGGAGGGGCTGCTCTTGTCTTCCTCCCCTCCTTCCTGCGCCCTGGGCAGACATCTCTGATCAGTCGTGGCGTCGGGTTATTGTCCAAAGCCCCGGGCAGCCCCTGGTGGTCAGGAGGAGTTGGCTTCTCAGCCCCTGCTGCTCTCCACAGATAGTGGAGAGAGCCCCAGGGGCCTGGGTGGCCGCTGCACGGTCCAGAGCCTGGTGTGGGCAGAGCGGTGAGGCTGGGTGGGGGCCTGCCGTTGACCTTGCTCCCTCCCACCACAGGCTGCCGGTGTGACGTCGGTGGTGCGCTAGGACAGGGCTGTGACCCGAGGACGGGTGCCTGCCGGTGCCGCCCCAACACACAGGGCCTCACCTGCAGCGAGTGGGTGCCCCCACCCCCGGGGCCAGGGGGCAGGGGGCTGGCAAGGCAGCTGACCCGCTAGAGACCCTGCGGGCTGCCCCTGACCACCCCTGCCCTGGCCAGGCCAGCGCGAGACCACTACCTCCCTGACCTGCACGACCTGCGGCTGGAGCTGGAGGAGGCGGCCACGCCCGATGGCCACACCGTACGCTTTGGCTTCAACCCCCTTGAGTTCGAGAGCTTCAGCTGGAGGGGCTACGCGCAGATGACACCCATCCAGGTGGGGGAGGGGCTGCCCCTCCCCAATGTTGGCTTCACGCTCCGCCCCCCGCCCCTGTGGCTGGTAGAGGGGGGCAGGCTGGGAATGGCCAGGGAGGGACCACCCTGATGTTCCATGCCCCTCCCCCCCCAGCCCAGGATCGTGGCAAAGCTGAACGTGACCTCCCCCGACCTCTTCCGGCTCGTCTTCCGCTACGTCAACCGTGGGCCCACCAGTGTGAGCGGGCGAGTCTCCGTGCAAGAGGAGGGCAAGTTTGCCACCTGCAGCAACTGTGAGTGCCTGGGGGCCGCCCCGCTCCCCCACTGTCCGTCCTGACCCGCCCCTGCCCCCCTGCCCTCGCCCCAGCCCTACCTTGGGCCCCTGAGTGGGTGGGGGGCCAGCCTGTACCCTGGCCCTGGGGCAGCTGCTGCCCAGGGTGGCCCGTGGGCGGGGAGTCTAGGAGTCTCACGTTCTGTGTCCCCAGGCACAGAGCAGAGCCAGCCCGTCGCCTTCCCACCCAGCACGGAGCCTGCCTTTGTCACTGTGCCCCAGAGGGGCCTCGGGGGGCCCTTTGTGCTGAACCCTGGCACCTGGGCCCTGCTCGTGGAGGCCGAAGGGGTGCTCCTGGTGAGGTGGGGGCTGAGTGGGCTGGAAGCGGGCCCGGGGAGAGGGCCAGCATACCGACCTCTCCCCCTGGCCGCCAGGACTACGTGGTTCTGCTACCCAGCACCTACTACGAGGCCGCACTCCTGCAACTGCGGGTGACCGAGGCCTGCACGTTCCGGCCTGCCGCCCAGCGCTCCGGGGAGACGTGAGAGCCAGCCCGGCAGGGTGGGGGGCCTGACCCTCCCTGGGCCACGGGCCACTCGCCCCTGCTGACCACAGTCGTGTTGCCCCTCCTGCACCCCAGCTGCCTCCTCTACACCCACCTGCCCTTGGATGGCTTCCCCTCAGCTGTTGGACCCGAGGCCCTGTGTCGCCATGACAACAGTCTACCCCGGCCTTGCCCCACGGAGCAGCTCAGCCCCTCACACCCGCCCCTGGCCGCCTGCCTGGGCAGTGACGTGCGTGTCCCTGGGACCTCGTGAAGGGGCAAGGAGGGCCAGGACCTGGGGAAGGCGTGCCCTTGGCCTGGAGGACAGGGAGGGGGTGGGGTCCATGCTGCCAGGACAGGACCCAGGTGCAGGCCGGGCCACAGGTTCGACTTGGGGCCTCATTCGTAGGTGGGGTGTCAGTGACCCCTGCCCTCCGGTTCACTCCGAGGACCCAAGCTAGGCCTCTGGGCAGCAGGCCTTGGGGAGGTGGGGGAGGCTTGGAGTGAGCAGAGGTTGGGAGGCCAGGGGGCCGCGGGGGTGTCCTGGAGGGGTGCCCCAGGCAGCAAGGACAATGAGGGCACAGACTCTGGGGCCGGGGGGCAGGCTATGGGAGTGGAGGGTGGTAAGGGCCGTGTCCAGCAGTGTCCGGGGAGGACATGGGGGCCTGGGGTGGGGCCTCCGATCACGTTGTTCCCCCCCCGCCCAGGTGGACGTTCAGCTTCAGGTGGTAGTGCCACGGCCAGGCCGCTACGCACTGGTGGTGGAGTATGCCAGTGAGGACGCCCGCCAGGAGGTGGGCGTGGCTGTGCACACCCCCCAGCGGGCCCCGCAGCAGGGGGCACTCACGCTCCACCCCTGCCCTTACAGGTGTGCAGGGAGGGGCGAGGATTCAAGGCCGGGGGAGCTGTGTGGGAGGGTGCGGGCCCCAGGGCTGCCCGTACCCCTTCCCCACTGACTGCCCCTGCCCCATCCTGCAGCACCCTGTGCCGGGGCGCTGCCCTGGACACCCAGCACCACCTGGCTGCCTTCCACCTGGACACGGAGGCCAGCGTCCGGCTCACAGCTGAGCAGGCACGCTTCTTCCTGGTAAGGCCCTGAGCCCTCTGCTGCGCGGGCCCCCGGGACTCCCCTGTGGCGTCAGGCCCTTCAGACAATCTTAAACAGCATCGGTGGAAGCGTGGTGAGCCCAGGGGGCCGTCAGCAGCAGCACCGTTACTGTGCACCTGCCCACGTTTCTTCCAGAATCTTCTTCACCTGCAGGGTGGGGGTATTTTTTCCTGGGGGTACAAAATATGGACTTTAATTTAGAGAGCATTCTGCTCTCCACACGGGGAGGGGGGGCGTGTGATGGATTAGAGCTGGAGGAGAAGGAAACCATGTTCACAAGAGGCCACTTTGTGATGTAATTTCTGAGAACACCCCGGTGTGAGGAAGGGGTTGTTCGGCGGGGTCATTGGCATCACGGTTAGGCTGCTGCTAGACCCTCGTCAGCACTCTGAGGGCTGCGTCACGGTGAGGCGGGCCCCTGCAGACCTGCCTGACGCCCAGAACCCACAGGAGGTGTCCACTCGCTACGGGACCGAGCGGGTGATGTCTGCCTCCCTTGAGCCTTTAACAGATGCATCACCGATGCACCTATTTTTGTAAACGCATCAGTGTTGACGAGAGACTTGCAGATGGAAGGAGAACCCCGCGGCCGCCCACTGCTCAGGCTTGCGGCAGTCGTGCGTTCCACCCGCGGTGCTAGGGCGCAGACCCCGTCGCTTCCGCCCGACTTACTGGCATCGGGCGCGTGCGGCCTGTCCTCCCCCTCAGCCCTGCGGCGGGGAATTGGGTTGTTGTAAAGTGTGCACAGAACCACGTCGCGGGCATGCCCGGCGTGCCCTGCCCCCCAGCACCCAGGCCAGGAAGCCACGCGCCCCGCCCCCAGACACCCCGCGGTCCCCGGTGGCCGCCTCCCGGCTCTGACAAGCGCTTCATAAGCCTGTCCCACAGTCCAGGCTTCTGTGCTGCGTCTCGTGCTGACGCCGGGTTGGCCACGCGGCGTTCTGGGTCTTCCCCGTGGGGTGTTACCAGACGGTTCTGATGTCTTGGGTTTTGCTGTATCTGCCACGCATGCACCTACCTCGTGCTGGACAGCACGGGGCAGAGAGCCCGCTCATGAGCCTGTGCTCGCACAGTGCCTGTCCATGCCGGCTCCCTGGAGCTGAAGGGGAGGCTGGTGGCCGACGTGTATAGAGTTGGAGCGACAGGGTGGGTGGCGGTGAGGAGAGCCGAGACGTGCTCCTGGCCCGGAAACTGCACCTGAGGGCTGGGGTTCAAGCGGCCCGAGGAGGCAGGGACTTGGTGCAAAGAGGGGGACGCAGGTCGGATGTAGGGGTGTGGGAGGGGCCCTGCCTGCGTTTCCACGTTCCACGCCTGGTCGTCTGTCCACAGCACAGCGTCACCCTGGTGCCGGTGGAGACGTTCAGCTTGGAGTTCGTGGAGCCCCGGGTCCGCTGTGTCAGCAGCCATGGTGCCTTCAACCCCAGCAGGTGCGGGTGGGAGGGGCCCGGGCAGCCACAGGGGCTCGCCGGCCAGGTTGCAGGGACTCACCTCCACCCTTGTCCCCAGTGCCACCTGCCTGCTCTCTCGCTTCCCGAAGCCGCCCCAGCCCATCATCCTCAGGGACTGCCAGGTGCTGCCACTGCCCTCTGGCCTCCCGCTCGCACACTCGCAGGACCTCACACCCGGTGCACCCCCGTCGGGGCCCCAGCCTCGGCCCCCCACTGCCGTGGACCCCGATGTGGAGCCCACGCTGCTGCGCCACCCCCAGGTGAGGGCCCGGGCCAGGAGGGACAGGGGTGTGGACAGGGACGTGGGCAGGGGCAGGACTCCAGGCCCTCCACCCTTGCCCGGGTCCACACCCCTGTGCCTGCTCACAGAGCCCCTCCCTCCCCGCAGGGCACTGTGGTCTTCACCACCCAGGTGCCCGCCCTGGGCCGCTACGCCTTCCTGCTGCACGGCTACCAGCCCGACCACCCCACCTTCCCCGTGGAGGTCCTCATCAGTGGGGGCCGAGTCTGGCAGGGTGAGTGGCCGTGGTGGGCCGTGGGGGCAGACCCCCAGACGAGGGGCCCGTCAGGGGACTCCTCACACAGCCGCACTGTGTGGTGGTCGCCACAGTATGTGGACAGATCCGTCCTACTGTCAGTTCTCGAACGGGGTGCCCAGGGCCCAGTGCAGACGGCAGCCCCAGCCTCCCGGCCCCCCTTCCCAGATTCTGCTCCTGACTCCATCTTATGAGTCAAGGTTCACCCTGTCACATACGTGGGTAACAGGGTTCGCCGTGGGACACACGGTGATGGTACTTGTGATCCTACGTGTGTGTATGTTTTGTTTCCGCGGGGCCAAGCTCAGGGATCTGCACCCAGTGGGCCTTTGTGCGTGGCTACCCCTGACCCGTGTCACGTGAGTGGGCCCTGCCAGGCGTCCTCAGGCGGGTCACAGGTCCGTGTTGGGAGTAACAGATGCACGCTCCTGGGCGGGAGGGGCACTGTCCCGTGGTAGCTCTTCCTCCCCGCTGACTCCAGGAGTGGCCCTGGGCTGGCCCGTGGGGTGTGGGGGGACACACTGACCTGCCTTTCCTTCCTCCCAGGCCATGCCAATGCCAGCTTCTGCCCGCATGCCTATGGCTGCCGCATCCTGATTGTGTGTGAGGGCCAGGCCGTCCTGGACGTGACCGACAGTGAGCTCACCGTGACCACGCGGGTGCCTGAGGGCCGGTGGCTCTGGTTGGTGAGTCCAAGGCTGCCATGTCTGCATGCGGAACTCTCGGGGCCTGATGTGGGGCTAGCCTCTCTGTGTGTGGACTTCCTGACCCTGTTCAGGGACCAGCCATCCTCCCACCTGTCACACCATTGGCCACTCAGCCCAGGTGCATTCCCCTATCTGGCTTGGCCCAGCCCCATGCCAGGTGCCAGGGAGCAGCCTTCAGGGGCCTCCAGGCCAAGCTGTGAGGCTATGGTGTGGGGTGAACACCTAAGAGCCGAGATGTGGTCCACCAGTCCCCTGGGGCCCTGCTGGTCAGGGTGGCCTTCCTGGAGGAGGAGGCCTGGACAGATGGAGAGGGAGGGCAGAGGTATGTCTGGCATGCAAGGATGGGAGGGGGCACCGGGAGGCCGGGCACTCCTCACAGCCCCCAAGCTTCCATTAGGCCATAGAAGCCAACCTTCTTCTGAGCAGCCCAGTGGGGGTCCAGCACCTGCCAGCCTTGCTGGGGCCCAGTGGGGTGTGATGTGGCCACTACTGTCTTGGCTGTCCGGCTGGACCCTGGCCAGTCACAGAGAACCCCCCGGGCGATGTGCTTCTGCTGGCAGGCTCTGGTATGCTTCCCCAGCCCGGGTCCTCTCCGGGGTCCACGGGAAGGTCACCAGGCCCTGATCCCCTAGGAGTATGTGTTGGTGGTCCCTGAGGAGGTCTACAGCTCCAGCTATCTCCGAGAGGAGCCCCTGGACAAATCCTATGACTTCATCAGCCAATGTGCCAGCCATGGGTACCACATCAGGT